GGGTATTTTTTAATTTCATTATTTTTTAGATAAATTATGAATTTTTGAGTATTTTTATTAATTTAATGAAATATTTTATAAACCATAATATTAATGAATTTTAAATGTTATTAAAAGCTAAATTAAATAAAAATAATATGAGAAAAAAAGAAAAGCATGTGGATCTGATTCCTTTAATTAAAATTGTTAATTTTAATGAAATGATTTTAAGTGTAAGCATGTGAAAGACCATGCCTTTAATTTAATGGTCCTAATTAAAAGAATTAATAATGTTATTAAATTCGCTTATTTTAGGGTTTAGGGTTTCGTTTCGTCCATGATGGGCAAATGAGAAAATGCAGGGAAGGAAAAGGAGGGTTTGGGAGGGGTACGTGTAACTTAACAAAATGGGTCGAGCCGAAGCACACTGTTAGTAGATATTACCAGCTTTGGTCCATCATGTATTGACACCAGCCTCACGGTTTTTAAAACGCGTCTATTAGGGAGAGATTTCCACACACTTGAAAATGAGGGTTTGGGAGGGGAAGGTGTAGCTTAACAATAAGGGTCAAGCCCACGATTTTTAAGACACGTCTACTAGGGAGAGATTTCGACATACTTATAAAGAAGGAAAAGGAGACTTTGGGAGGGAAAGGTGTACCTTAAGAAAAAGGGTCAAACCCTAACCTACTGCTAGTAAATATTTTCTGTTTTGGTTCGTTACGTATCAATATCAGTCTCATAGTTTTTAAAACGCGTCTACTAGGTAGAGATTTTCACACCTAAACTGATGAAGAATCCGACAATATTGAATGCATGTATGTATAGGGTCGAAGAGGAAGATAAACACAAAAGAGACATGAGTACCCAAATGTACTAACTGCTACATCCCCCTCCTACTTTTGTCATCATTAATAATATTTTTACTCTTTGTTTGTTCAACTTCTCGTTAAGATTCTTCATTTACGTGAGATCTCACATCGGTTGGAGGAGGGAACGAATCATTCCTTACAAGATCGTGAATGTGGAAAATTGTGAAATCCCATATTGGTTGGAGAGGAAAACGAAACATTTTTTATAAGAGTGTGGAAACCTCTCTCTAGTAGACGTGTTGACGACAATACGTAACGAACAAAAGCGGACAATATCTACTAGCGGTGGGCTTGGACTGTTACAAATGACATCAAAGCTAGACACTAGGCAGTGTACAAGCGAGTATGTTGGCCTTTCAAAGGGATGGATTGTGAGATCCCACATTGGTTGAAGCGGGGAACGATAAATTCCTTGTAAGAATGTGGAAACCTCTCCTAGTAGATATGTTTTAAAATCGTGACGCTGACGGTGATACGTAACGAGCAAAAACAAACAATTAAAAATAAAATAAAAAGTAACAATATAATTATATTAGAAGTGGAAAGAATATGAAACCATGACATGAATTCTTTAAATTATCTATATTTTATAAATTGAGTTGTCACTAAAACAAAATTCAAAAAGTGCATTAAATAAATAAATAAATAAATCTCAATAATACAATTATCATTGGCTCCAAAGCTATTTATACCTCATATTATTTATTATAAACTTTATAATTTTAATTAACATATTTCTACCAATTTCTAGCTGTTGTACACATCAATTTCTACTTTTATTTTCTTTAATGCAACTTGTTTTCATGCCACAATTATTATATATATATATATATATATATATATATGACCATAGACTCAATAAGGATGACCTAAAAAGTTATGGCTGTCCTACAGAGAGACATTGTGGGGGGCAGTTTGAAATAATTAGGAAGACAATAATGGGACGGAATCCCGCCACAACGCCCATTATATCGTTTTTCTTGATTTTGACCCACGATTGAAAAGAATAACTGAAAGGGAGAGTTCCTTGGAACAGAAAAACCTTAAATACTGACAATCGTGGGTCTTACGTGTTCCACCAATGACCAAAAGGGTCGGATCAAAATGGACCCTTTAAACAAATTTATCTTATAATAGCTCGAACCCATTCACACTTCCATTTATATTTGAAATATACGGTTTTTTAATTTCGTTATTTTTTAAAGTTTTGAGCTTATAAATACTACGTCCTTATATATATATATATTTTAAAATTTTTAACATATTTTCATAACAAATATGAAAGTTAATAAATTTTTTGTCCCTTTTATTTTAATACCCTTTTGTTGAGATAATACAAAATTTATAATTAAAATACAAAATTAATTCCATTTTAGTTTTAATATTCATTAATGGTATGGCCTAATAAGGAAAATAATTAGTGGTTTAGTGGTTTAATTATGGTTGTAGAACTCTCTAATCTTTATTGTCTTTTATTACTTTTTTATCCACGTGGAATTAAATATCACATCGTATTAAATGAGTGAGGGAGAAGGTTAATAAACTAAGTGGAGTTTTGAAAATATTGATAATCTTGTATTTATTTTAATTTTATCTCAAATTAGTATGTGGAATACACGTGTCCATATTAAATAATTAATTCAAAATATTCCCTTTTAAAATAATAAGACATATTTACATCCATACACCATTATACCGTATAATTGGATAGTAATAGCGTAAACCCTAATGCCCAAGATTCGAATCAAAATTTGTAGTATGAATTCGGTATTGTGTACTCCAACGTTCTTCTGTATTGTCGACTTGTCTTGAGTTGGTTCTGATATGAACCGAGATATCAATCATGCAGTATAAAATTTAAGGAATATGCGAAGAAAATGTTGTTCAAATTATTACAGGAGGTTATAATTCTATGTAGTTTAGATTGCATGTTTAGAACCATTCCAGCTAAACATGATCGTTTGCTTTGAGATATTCGATCAACAAGGTAATATGAATTTTACTTTCCCTTCGAGTGATTTCTTATCTTTAGGGCTAAGTGTTCTTACGTTTACTTTAACTAAAAGTTAAGTTTCTTTGCAATTCTATGTAGTTTAGATTGCATATTTAGAATCATTCAAGCTAAACATGATCGATCTTGTCCGTGAGGTGGTTCGAATCTCAAACAAGTGTTCTTGCGTTAGATTTTTTATCAACAAGGTAATCCGAATCTTACTTCCCTCGTAGTGATTCTTTATCAGTTTCTAAGAGTAGGGACTGTCCCACGTGCCAACACGCAATTTTTAAACATTATTCACATACATAAAGTTAAACACACTGAATTTCAGAAATTATGTCACCGAAACAGAATTTGAATCTTATTGATGTAGGAAGAAACGCATTTATTAACCTTTTATATCGTTAAAATCACGCTCATTTGCACATTGATTCATTCGTTACGTCACGAATTATTATCATCATTTTTTCTTATTACTTCATTATGTTATGTACTGTGTTTTTTTTTCTTTGTTTGCGTATGCATGTCTCAGGCCAATCTGTGTTCCTGTCAGAAATATGATATCCCAAACCAAAAAAAAACATTTTTTTTGAGCATTTTGGCTTAGTGGAAACTACTGTTGTTGTTGTTATGTCACATCCCAAGGTTTTAGTGTTCTTCGTTACTCAGACAATAAGGTTTTGTTGGTTCATTTTATCCAACATAATCTCTATAACACAACACAAAAACATCCCTATTTTTCAATACGAGGATCCCTCTAGGCACGAGGGTTTATAAAGGCTTTAGGGTTTAGGGTTTATGGTTTAGAGTTTATTATAATTGTCCAAGCTCACCGCTAATAGATATGTCCTGGCTTTCTCTTTCGAGCTTCTTGCGTCTATTAGAGAGAGGTTTCGACACCCTTATAAAGAATGTCAAGTTTGTAGATATATTTTCTTCAAACTTTTCCTTTCGGGCTTCCTGCGTCTGTTGGATAGAGGTTTCGACACTCTTATAAAGAATGTCAAGTCCACGACTAGCAGATATTGTTCTCTTTGAACTTTTCCCTTCGAGTTTCTCGCGTCTGTTGGAGAGAGGTTTCGACACCCTTATAAAAAATGTCATGTCCACTACGGGCATTTATTGTTTTCTTTGAACTTTTCCTTTTCAACTTCTTGCGTCTATTAGAGAGAGATTTCAACACCCTTATAAAGAATGTCGAGTCCACTACTAGCAGATATTGTTGTTTTTGAACTTTCCCTCTTGGGCTTCCCGCATCTATTAGAGAGAGGTTTCGACACCCTTGTAAAGAATGCTAAGTCCACTGCTAGCATATATTGTTCTCTTTGAACTTGTTCTTTCTATTAGAGAGAGGTTTCGACACTCTTATAAAGAATGCCGCTAGCATATATTGTTCTCTTTGAACTTGTTCTTTCTATTAGAGAGAGGTTTCGACACTCTTATAAAGAATGCCAAGTCCACTGCTAGCAGATATTGTTATCTCTAAACTTTCCCTTCCAGGCTTCCCCGATTAGAAAGAGGTTTTGACGCCCTTATAAAGAATATTAAGTCCACGGCTAGCAGATATTGTTCTCTTTGAATTTTTCCTATCATTTAGTGTTCTTTTTTAATTTTTCCTTTCAGATGGTGTTTTTTTTTAATTTGTCCTTTCGGGCTTCCCGCGTCTGTTAGAGAGGGGTTTCAACACAATGGTTCGTTCTTCTCCACGTAAAGAAACCCTAAGAATTAGAAGCAAAAAAAAAAAAGGGAGCTTTTTCCTTGTTTGAAGCTACTGATATACATGAATGGAGTGTAAAGTAATGGAAAAAGATGAGATTTTTCTGGTTTTTTCTGTTAAAAAATAGAGTGAGAGATAGAGGATCTTTTAGAGCAAAAAGTATGCCTTTTTTGGATGTACAAGTTTTTACCTGATTTGGAAACAAAACCACAACAAAACTTGCCCCAAAACAACGCATAGATTCCTTCCCAGATTAAAGCCTCTCAAACAACCGACAACCTACCACCCTCCCCTTTTATATATATATATCCAACGCGATAAAGAAATAAAATTCTAAGTTTCGTAGACAATGTATTCAATAAATCTCCAAACTTTCAACTTGATTAACAAAATAACGATTAAATACGAATTAGAGAGACATATTAAGAACGTCCGATAGTAAATAAACATGATTATAAGTGTATTAAAGCTTTTTTTATAAGAACTAAACAAAGTCAACGACCCAAACTCATAATTTAACCAAGTAGTGATTTCTACACTAAAAACTAGAGATGGGTCGATGAAATAAATTGGGTGGTAAAAATTAGGGGGCAAAAAAAAAAAAAGGCCTTAATGAACAGTAATTTTTGTTGTTGTAGTGGGTAAGAGAAGATCAGTTTCATGATTACTGCACAAAATCTCCTCCAAATTTTCAATCTTTTTTACATTCTGATCATCTTCTGAAGAGCTTGAAAGTGGCAACAATGGCGGATTGCAATTTGAAGAACCAGCCTTTGTAAGCTGCATAGCTCTTTCAGCTTGAGCTATCCAATCCGTTGTAGAAAGAACATAAATCATCATCAAAGCACATGAACCTTGAGCTGCAAGCAACCCAATCCACAGCCCTGCAAATCCCAATTTCACCGCAAACCCCATTATGATCGCTACTGGAAAACCCACCAAATAAAACGACCCCAGATTGATATTAGCTCCGATCGTCGGCCGAGCGGTTCCTCTCAAGACGCCGCAGCCGGTGGTTTGTGGGCAGTTTCCGAGTTCACAGAGCCCGACAATCGGCAATGCCACGGACGTTAGTTCAAGAATTTCAGTGTCGTTGGTGAAAAATCTCCCCCATTTGTGCCTTATTAGAGTGGTGAACACCATCGCCAAGACGCCGAGCACGGCGGCGCAAAGGAGTGAAACAATCATTGATAAACGAGCTTTGGCGGGTCGATTTGCTCCTAATTCATTACCGACTCTTGTGGAAACTCCAAGGCTGAGAGATGATGGAAAAACATAAACTAAAGAAGTGGTTTGAATCAAAATCCCCATTGAAGCAATGGTGGCTTTGGGATTTACGAGAAGCCCACAAAGCATTATCATGAACTCATACCACCACCATTCGAGGCAAACGGAAACACAAGTGGGTATCGCAAGAGAAAGCAGAGGAGCCCATCCATGGAGGCAATCCTGGGTTGGAGAAACCCATGAATCTTTGTAAACTCCAGAGAAGTAAACAAAGGAAACAAGGAAGAAGAAGACGTTGAAATTGAACCAAATCATGGCAATGGCTACACCAGAAATGCCCATTTTGAAATGCACAACGAGGAGGAAATTCAGGGGAATGTGAAGCAGAACAGAGAAAGCAGAGCAATACGTCAATGGCAGAGTAATGCTTTGAGTTCTTAAGTAAATTCGAAGTGGGTGAAGAAGAGAAAGGAAAATGAGGTCAGGGATTGAGAAGAGGATGAAAGTTTGAGCCATGGAAGAGATTTGTTCATCTTGGCCACACCATAACAGGATTCTTCTCATGTTGAGCCACATGAAGGAGATGGGAACAGAGGAAGTAAGGAGAAGAAGAACAGCTCTTTGAAGGGTTATACCAAGGAGTTTCCATTGTTTAGCTCCATAAGCTTGGCCACAAATTGGCTCCATTCCCATGGCCAAACCAGAGAGAACAGAGTAGCCAGTGATATTAGCAAAGCCAATAGAGAGAGAGCCAGCAGCAAGTTCAAGCTCTCCAAGATAGCCAAGAAAAAGCATGGAGATCATAGCTCTTGAGTACAAAAGAAGCCCTGTTATGGCTGTTGGACCTGAAATCTTCCCTATTTCCTTCATTTCCTCCACTGCCTGAAGAATGCAAACACACAAAGTTAGACACTTGAATCAAATAAACACACAAAAAGCAATGATGGGTCGATGAAAAATTGCTTTTTTCCTCATTCTCCAACATTATATTACCTCAGAGACAGTGGGGAATCTATGAAGCTGAGCTAGTTGATCATCAGCAGGCTTGAGAAGATTGTTCTTATTATTAAGATTATGATTATCCAAGCTTTTGTTGGGTGTAGCCATGAAGTTGGCTTTGTAGTTAGGAGTAAGAAACGAGGAATTATTAGGAGAGGATGGTTTTGGATTACACATAGCTACCTTGTTGACAAAGAAGATAGATAGATAGATAGGATGACTCTGTTTTTCTCTCTGTTTTTTCTCTGTTTTCTGAAAATGGAATGCGAGAGTGAATGGGGGAATGGGTATATATACATAAAGGGACTGAGAGCTACAAGTTTCTTTTTTGCTGCCCTCCTCTTAAGGAACTTGTCTCGCAATATCAAGGACAGGGGGAAGGGAATAAAGAATATTTTAAGGGCCGACTGTCCTACTCAAAAAGCATTAGCTTGAAATCAATTTCATAATATATCCCTTAGAAGAAGGGACATATGGGATATGGGGGAGGCGAATGAAGTGAGGATGAATGAAATTTGGTGGCATTTTTTATGAGTTTTTGACGGCCAGAGAATCCCATATTGGAGAATTAATAGATAAAAAAAAGAATGCATGATGAAAAGTGAATGGATAATCTATTTTAACACTCAAACCTCTCTTGTGGTCGAGTTTTGAAAGATGCGTGGAAGGAAGAGATAAAAGAAAGTTATCTTGGGAATGCCAAGTGGATGAGGAGTTCGAGAAGCAAAATTCTTTGAAATGACAGGGAGGAGCATAGCATATATAAACTGATGGTTCATAAAATATGAACAATAAAATTACTGACTGATTGGCTGGCTGGCTTCGATGTTTGAAGGCTAAGGAATGTGTGCATGTCCGATTCTTGCACAACCCATGTGGGAAAATCATACCCATTTCAACCTAAACTCTAATTACAAGAGTATCTCAACAGTGTGCTAGAGAGGAAGCTGGCTCTCAAAAGGTAGATTGTGATATCACACTCTCAAGCTAAACTCTAATTACAAATAGTATTAGAACTAAACACGGAATGGTGTGCTAGTGAGGAAGCTGACTCCCAGAAGGTAGATTGTGATATCACACACCAGTTTGGGAGGAGAACGGAGTGTAGGAACCTCTTCCTAAGAGACAATATCGACTAGCGATGGATTTGAGCTATTACCATTCAGACACACACTTGGTTGATGTTCTTGAGAGATTTTGGAGATAAAAAGGAGGGGGGGAGTGAAGGGATGTTGATTGGGAGAGAATATTTATATAATTGTAATGGTGTGGGGGAGATTGTTTTGAGGCCATGGGAGTGGAATAGGATTGTTGAGATTTTGTGATCCCCTCATGGAGATTTTGTGACAAAATAAACCCCTAATTAAATCATTCCAATCAATAATTACAATGCCATTTCCGACTAACTGATAAAAGTGGGCCACAAACAAACACACAAAAGAAGGGTTTGATCAATTTACAGTCGGTGGAACTCTTAGAGTGTTTCCCCTAACAGCCATGAGAAAGAACAGCAGGATTGGAGACTTGAAATGGGCTAACATCTCTACCCCATTAGCTCATTTGGACATATTATTCCAGGTGGAAAGGAAAATAACTTGGGCTTTCAGCAAAACAAACCAAGGGAGTGAAAGAAGGGTCAAATCAAATCAAATCAGATCAGATCAAATCCATAGATGATGCTTGAAATTCCAAAAATGCAAAAAAAAAAAAAAAAAAAAAAAAAATGAAGAACAGAAAGGATAAAGAACCAACCCCAAGGAACTGTTTGAGATGTTGGTTTGGCTTTAGGTGATGAAATGGAAACAGTATTCTTCATGGGTATGCTGCAACAAGAGAGAGCAGAGGAATGGGCCCACCTGATTGATAGAGTGTTGACAGTGGAATGGCTGTATGAACAAGAGGCAGATGGGAGAAAGGGAACACACAGATTTAGGAGTAGTTCCAATTACAACCATTAAATATGTATCCCTTTTCTCCCTACAGAGATGAGGCTGTCTCTCTAGAGGGGAGAGCAACTGGGGGACTGTGTCCTTAGCTGAGGCACACAGCCCTACCATCATCAACCAGCCTGCAACTTTGGATTGTTCTGCTGCTAGCTGCTGCTGCTGCTGCTGCAGCAGCACAAGGACCAGTTTTTCCTTTGTTTCCTTTGTAGAAGATATTCCATCTCTGAATCTCATAACACAACCCCATGTCAGATCCCATGTGTCTTTGGCTCTATCAGTTGATATCAAACAACAGAACCCTCTAGACAAAAAAAAAAAAAAAAAAAAAAAAAAAAAAAAAAACAAATAAATGTAAGCTTAACAAAAGATCAAAAATAAAATAAAACATAGGTCGGTAAGTACACAACAGATCCAGTCCATCAAATTCCCAATCCCAAACAGGATTGAAGCAAAAGAAGATGACAAGCAGCTAAAAGTATCGTATGTTGATCATGCTCATGCATGAAAGCAAACCAATTGATACCAAGTTGTTCTAATGAACATCATGACAGAATTTTTCTTAGCATCTTAGTGAACAGATTATAATAACTACCAATATACTATAAAAGTTCTTCGAAAACGATATGAAGAAGTTGACAAGACAGAGATTTGACACCAATAAAGATCATACCCTTCCATACACTGGAATAAATTCACCATCGTTCCTCCATACCAAGGTTTTTCACTCTTTTCGAGAGAAATATTGATTCTACCAAAAGATTCTAAAGAACTTAGACCTACCATTTCCTTTCACAATACATGGAGAGAAAATGTAACATCTTTTTTCTTGACACAAAGATGCATGAAAATGTATGAATGTATTCCCACTGTGGTTTCTAAATTCAAGAACTGATTATCCAAAGAATAAAAGAATATTACGCCTCATCAAACAATCATTTCAGTACTAACTGATGCTTCTTATTATACCTTACAGGAAGCACAGCATGAGATGAGAGCATATTATATTTATATAATAGCAAGCTAGATTTGGTTAATGATCAGTGCAATCAAACATGGGGAACTTATTCTAACATGAAGATGCAAGATCAGAGAGAAGCTAAAAAGAGCATATAGTTTTTTTAAAAAATATATATATACACATTGTTCAAGGATGCCATCGATCAAAAATCACTTAAGCTTTTTTAGACAAATTATCTTAATGAAGAAAAGAAATGTCCCTATTAGGGTTTCAATCAGCACAAAGCACTAAATAACTGTTGCCCACCAAGCACATTCCAACATACTCAAACAGAAAATGAATGAGAATCCAATACATTATGATTGAACCACCAACGCACTAAATATTGCCTTAGAAGAAAATGATACTTCATAGGGAATAATTCCCAATCAGCAGCATTATCTTCGTTGGTAAGAAAGTAGTCTTCAGAGTAATTTTGGAATCCACAGCTCAGGCTTCCCCACTTCTAACGAAGAAATTGTCATAAAGCAACATTTCCAGGAGGTGGGACTGATTTTCATAAAAGAAGATTCCTCACTGTTTGTTAATAACTTGTCTCTCTCAGCATTTGGTGACAGCTAATGCTATAATTATCCCTGAACAACCAGTATGTCTGCTTAATCAATATCTTGTTTTTCCTCATCTGTCGCTTACTTATATAAAGCGCCCACCACTGATCACTGTAATATATGTCCATGTCTTAAAAAACACACGAGCGCTCCCCCAAATGTTTGGGTCAGGCCTCATTTCTCTACTGTAATCTGTCAAACAAACTCCCCCAACCCATCACACACCATAAAATGGTTAACTCAGACCTATAGTATGTTACACATGTATTTTGCATCAAAATTTAGATCAATTCTCATGTTGATCATGGATGAGATGCACACCAACCAAGCTTTCCAAATACTCTGACAATCAAGAAAGGAAAAAAACTTTTCAAAAGAGGAAACCCTTGTAAAAACAGTGTTATAATATTTATTTACAGCTATTTACAAACTTGTAGGATAATCTAAACGGTTTTCCATTAAGATGATAGGTTAGATAAAAGAAAAGATAAACGAATATAACTGAATACCTCATGTGAGGGCTCTGGGATTCTGAGCACTAGACCGAGGAAGGGCCAAGATAGCAATGAGTCCACTTGCAAAGGCTGCAAATGCTGCCACAGCAAAAGCTGGAGAATTTCCACCACCAAACAGCTGATCCCATGGTCCACTTCCCAGGGATACCACAACCTATTATCAGAAACACTTAAATTAACAAATAAAATAACTTCACGAAGGTGAGCTCATTTATTACATATATTAGATCAAAGGATAATTTAGTTTAAATTTTGCTTTATACCAGATGATGTGATCCCTCCATTGGAAAAACATCAGGTTGCAAATATAACACCATTTGCAACATTTTCAGGACATAACATGCACTAGAGACTAAATACTGACTTTATTATTTAAGATCAAGCTTCAGTTTGTTATATACATCTATAAATCTATATGATGTAGATATAGACATAGATATAGATATATAATAAAGAAAAAAGAAAAATTAAGTGCAATCCCAAACAAGATTAAGTCTTCAGATTGTCTCATACAATTACTGTCTATCACCAAAGCATCCAGCCCCACCCTGTTCTTCTGATATGAAGCAGACAGCACAATGTATGGGACCAAAAAAATAAATGGCTTTGTGAAACATGTTGCCTTTTAAGTCACAGATGTAGACCCAGACTGTCATATTTGTGACAACTATATCTATTCCTTCCTCAAAATTTAAATAAAATAATAAAAGAAAGAGACACTCAACAAAATACGGAAAAGATGGCAAGTGAGTTCAATTTTGCTATAACACATGAGCTTCAGCCCTAATAGAGAAGAACCCCCTTACGTAAAAAGCAAAGTTAAATGATGTATGTATAAAGAATACATGGCTTCTGGAAATATAGTTTCTGTTGTTGTAAAACAAGAATATAACTGAAATTGAAGTAAAAAATAATAGTAATATCAAGAAACAGATTATGCTTCACTGTTTATGATTAAAATGTTACTACTATGGCCCCTTCAAGTCTATCATATCTTACAGATCAAAATATGTTCCTGACAATATCACCTAAGGCAAGAGCCAAATCTTTCAGCTGGATTGAATCCTAGAGAGAGGTCCACTAGAGATCAAAAAGTTTTGAAGAAACAACAAAACATTATGTCAAATTATTTCATTTCTATTATCATCCATTACATATTGGAAAGTGACATCAGGACTATAGATATGGACAAACTCCAATTCTTTCCTTGTGATCTTCTTCCACATGGAAATATATTTCATCTGGATTCCCTGAAATCTTTTCCCAAGACAAAAAGTAAACTGTCTAACAGGGATATCCACAATTGGATTTTCAAGAGAAGTTTTGTCTTGGTATGTCCCAGAAAAGGTCAGCCCAAATTTGACAATCTTTCTCATTTAATAAAGTCAAATGATTAAAGACGGAGCACACTAACTGTATTGTTCCTTCATTCGTTCAGAGTAAGACCTCTGGTATTTTCCTTCTTGCATACACAAGTTGAGCGGACTCTCTCTTTCTCCCAAGTTCTTACCCCTTCCAATACTAGAGGTTTTCATGCATTTCAACCAAGATTATGATACAGTGGGTATATAGACTAAGTAGTCCCTTTAATGTAGGTTGAGCTTGTGCATAACTTAAAAATAATATGAACCAACACACTTTGAATGTCTGTTATCAGAAAGTGCAGAACTTACAGCATCAAGTTCCTTTTCCAAAAGAGATCTATTACAAAAATATAAAATAAATAAAGTAACCCAGTATAGATAAAATTTGTATAAAAGAAGTTTTCCACAGTTCCTACAATATATGACAATCAACAAAAAAAAAAAAAAAAAAAAAAAAAAAAAAAAAAAAACAGAGTTCAAAGAACACTAAATTCACCATCGAATATTGGATGGTACAAATTTGTGGATTCAAATGCGGTCAAACCCAATCCCAATTATTAAGAATTCATTTAAAGCCAAATTTTCATCGTACTTCAGAGATTACCTCACTATAAACAATGGGGCAACTTAGACAAGCATTCCACAAAAATAGTGACAAACAAAAAACAAAATATTGTCATCAAATAATAGGGAAAATTCAACAGGGAACATCTCCTACCAATAGTTGCAATTAGACAACACCCAAATGTATACAAGATAATAATAATAAAAAAACAAAAAGGTTGTGAACAAAAGAGGTCAATTAACTATATTAAAAATGAAACATTTTGTTTATAGACCTATGGGATGAAAAGATGTTTCACCTCAAGCTCAATAGTAAAAGATTTAAGACTTTTATTCAGCTAAAATCCTGTTTTCTGATTGAACCACCACCCTCAAAGTTTCGGAAACCATAGTTAAGTTTTGTCAACTATCAGCAAATAACTCATCTGAATTGTTACCAAAAATCATTTTCAAATTTTGTTTTGTTTTTAAAAAGAAAGAATCCAAATCAATGCTCTGCCCTAGGCATTCATGTTATATATTTTCTACTGGCATTTAATAGGTTTAGAGAAAAGTATCAAATAACAAAGGTGATATCATTTTACTCTCGCAAAGCAAAAGAAAATTAAGAAAAAGATATGTAGGATTAGTGTCACCTGAGGAATTACTATTGCCAAGTTCAAGACACCCGCAGACAAACCTGCAAGATGCAACAACACAATAAGAAACTCTCTAGTCTTTCATTCAAACAAAGCAACATCTACCCAATCCCCACCTTGACCAAGTTGCAAAGATTCAACACGCGAGGAGATCATGGCATATGGAATGCTGTAAGTAATCTGCAATGAATTATGCCAATAGATCAATACAAGTAATGCATAAAAGGTCCTCCATCGTGCATTATCACAAACTGAAAAAAAAAATTATGTTAACTAAATATTCCAAGTACAATATGATATATACGTGATTTCTTGAACTCTGAATTTTCATCCAATGGTAGTATTATTTGTGCTAAGACAAGAAAGGATGGGATGGAAAGAAGATACAACGTGTGCAACCACATTTTAGACAAGGAAGGAACTGCTTACTGCCAAAGGGACGCCAAGAAGAGCAAAGATAATCAATGCAGCTGATACGATACTATTTGGTGGAAGCTCATGGCCTATATAGCCCATATTGTTTGCCACATAGGTGACAACCAGTATAGAAAGGAAACATAGAGCCATAAAAATATTAGAGACTCCCCATACAAAACCAGCACCCCACTTTCTGCACAGCTTCTCCATAAGTAGTGAAGTTATTCCAAGGACAACAGAGTTAAACATCAGACCAAATGCTCCCATTCTGACTCCAGAACTATAACTCTGTCCTTCATTTGGCTTGCCACCATAAATCTCTCTACCCATCCAATCAGTATCAAATAGAATAAATGGAAACCATGCTACCCATGTCAGGGAAGTGACAAGCAAAATTACCCATATATACCCAGAGAAGTGTCTAAAAGTATGAAACAACTCCCAGAGAAATGCTTCTGAAGCATGACTTGATTGCCCCATACCGTCTTCCACTACCAGGGACGACCTGCCGCTTGAATCTAGAGAAATCTCTTGAGCTGCTGAAACACTCAAATATGTTGTAATTGCAATGAACACGACATCAATCAAGAAAGCTGACTTGAGATTTGCACAATTAACCGAGCATGCAGAGGTAAGAGTAAACGGCAAGATCTTGTACCAGCCACTAAAGGATCCAGTGGCATACCCAAAAATATTACCAATCGCCATAAATAGTGAAAAATAAGCATTTGCCACTCGATTCCTTCGATGATCCTTACCTAGCCAATATTATTTTTGAAAGATGTAAGTACCTTAAGATCCACCACACAACATAAGAGCTTTCATAGATTCAATTCATCGTGCCATATCCACATATTGTAACCATACATCAATTATTACCACACAACATAAGAACTTTCATAGATTCAATTGAACGTGCCATATCCACATATTGTAACTATATATCAATTATTAATTTACTATTACAGAAAAATCTTCTACACATGTAAACGAAATTGTATAATAACAGAGACATCAAATTCAGACGGTATACCAAACAACTTACCGGTAAGATCAGCAAGCAAAGCTCTACAAGGACCCTGCGTTAAGTTGTTAGCGACATCGAGAATCCAAAATCCAAACACAAAGAATCCAATCGCACGAGGCCTAACATCACCTCTGTCACCAATCAACCAACCGAGGTCCGCCGAGTGACCGATAATAAGAACGGCGAGTACAATGGAAAGCGCTCCAGCTACAATGAATGGCCTCCGGCGGCCGTATCGGCTGGTGCAGCGATCGCTCATGTGGCCAACGAGAGGCTGGACAAAGAGGCCAGAAAGCGGTCCGCAGAGCCATATGAGACTTGACCAAGCATGAGGAATACCAAGCTCTTGAACATAAGGAGTAAGAAGAGAGAGCTGCAAAGCCCAACCGAATTGAATTCCACATGCGACAGATGCCACGCGAAGTAACCGCTTGAGCGGAACCCTAGCTCCAAGTTGCGGTTGATTCGCTCGACGAGACGCTGTCCGGTGGCGTTCAGACGACTCGGGCATCACCATTTCCGCGCCCTACCTAGCATGCGTAGCCTCTCTGATACTCTCGCCGCCACTCTCTCGGAATCTCTGTGTGTGCGTGTAAGCGACGCTGCGAATCCTCGAACGACGCAGCAGCCAGCAGTAGGAAAGGTGGCGGTTCCCGTCAGCTTCCGCAAGCTTCATCATCAACCGAAACTGCCCCTACAGTTTTCCAATAAATTACATCCATTGCCAATATTAACAAAAAAAAAAAAAAAA